TAGAACTTCGTGCTTAAGAGGAACATGATGTAGGTGGCGCCGTCGGCATGGCGACCGCCTATGTTTACGCTGAAGTTGATGACTGCTGGGGGAACTCTCATGGCTATGGTCCGTGCGAGACCTCCCGAACCTCGCTGCAGTTCTGCAGCTTGCTGGGAGGGCGCCATGGTGCCTGTGGTCGCGTTGATCCAAGCATGTAGTTCGCGGACGAATTCGCGAAAAGGTACATGACCGGCATGGTCCCAATGAGGGCCGCTCGTTATTGTGCCGTCTCCGCCGCGCATGTGTCCTACCGCGCAGCCGATGGCGACCCATGTGTGCCGAAAGATAATAATACCAATCCAATGACCTCGTAGGTCGTGGTCGGATGTAGTCGGTTGGGACTTCCGTTGTGTGGTCGTAAGTCTGCGTGGGGGTGGAGGCGGCACTGCGTCGTATCGCATGTGTCCATGCGTTATATATTCGAAGAAGTTTCCAGGTGGAGTAGGTGGGTGGACTTCAAGAGTGTAGAAGCGCAGGGATGGAGGACGTAAGTAAGAGGCCTCCGCGCGAGCAGAGGTATCGCAGCAAGTGTCCGTGCGATAATGCGTATTCCTCCGCGCAAACCCACTGCACCCTGATGTTCCACCACGTCCGCAGTCCAGCAGACAGTGCCGTGCATGGCGCGGAGTAGAGCTAGAGCTGACCACCATCGGCCAGCTCCGCTACCAAGTTTGAAGGGGGCTGGGAGGCCCAGCCAACAGCTTCGCCTTAGGCGAAGCCAAGCTCCAGCTCTGCTGCACCGTAATGACGATAGTCCCAGCAGGAGAGGATGTGCCATCTTAAGAAATGGGAAGATCCGTATGGTCTCGATAGCGATTGCGTGCCTCCCGGCCGCTTGAGCCGACGCGGCCGCGGGCGCGCGCTCGCTTCGGCCCCTTGCGCCCCTCAGCTCGCTTTAAAATCAACATGCCCCTGAGATGCGCCCAGCAGGGCCCAAGAGGGCCTCAAAACGGCCCAAGAGGGCCCCAACACGGCCCCAAACGCCCCCAAAGAGGGAAGTCGAAATGACACGCGGAGCTTTCCGACGCCAGGGGCCCCTCCGAGACCGCCAGCAGGCCCCCACGAAGCCCCAGAAGTCCCAAGAAGACCCCGAGAGGCCCAACATCAGGCCCCGAGGGCACCCACACGGCCCTCACGAGGCCTCGAGAAGCTTCAGACCTGCCTCCGAAAGGCTTCCGAGACACCTGCCAGGAGACCCCAACACCGCCGCAATCACAACGAGCCCTCGGGCAAACGGCAGAGTTGAGACTGCATGAGCAGACGCTCCCCAACAAAAAAAACGAGAGGCCTCCTACAGAAGCATCTTGACGACAACCTTCATCGATTCCAAGCGCGACGCGAAAACCATCCGATAAGTTCCTCCTCCTGCTACGTTTCCTCATTCTCCCCCATTGTCATCCTTCTCTTCCTCATTTTAATTAGTTGCTTCTCTGTATCATCTCCTTCATACTCCTTCCTTCCTCATCCTCTCCTCTTCCTCCGTCGCTTACTCATCGTCCTCCCCCTCTTCCTCCTCCTTCTTCTCCCTGTTCATGGGTGGAGATGGATCTGCGTGCTAAGGGAGTGAGGGCTGGTTGGAGTAGTACGTTGCTTTTCTGGCACAAACGGGGCCTCAACGTGGAACTGTTCCTGAGCACGGTGGTTGAGAGGGGCCTAACGGGCCTGGGCGCTTTTGTATTATCCCAAAGTGAACATGCTCGGCTAGATACTGCTGTTGTGCGCTAACTTAAGGTGCTCATGAAGGGCTCGGCCACAGACAGGTCGGGGCCCCACGCGGTTTCGACGAGCAGCGGTGACGCACTTCGGGAACGGAAGATTATACTGAACTCGGGGGAACTAGCCGTCAGAAGAGTTAGATGGCTGCCAGGTATGATTAGATACCCCACGGCCCATCAACAAACGATTGCTAGGATTTGTGGACATGCACTACATGAACCTACTCAGATAACAGAGCCTGGACACATTCAATCGAATGCTAACCCTTTGCTGCTACAATTCAATCGAGATCTGGAGTTATACCGCGGGGTTTGTGGTACAGAGAGTTGTGTTCAGTATGGGGCCTACGGCGTGATTCTTGGCTTGAACTATGTGATTATGAATCGGGCGTTGCACATGAGTCCCTGGCAGGTGATCCTGGTATTTTGTGGGCAGCAGGATGTACTAATCAAAGTATTTGACCAGCTGGTCCGCCTTGTCCTTGTACAGCAGCAACAAGAACAGGGAGTTGAGCGATTTAAGTGCACGATTCTAGATTATCCAGGTGCTCCTCGCGCCTTTGGTTTCTCGACGATCCAGCAACTCATCGCGCATCAAACATCGCGCCATGGGATGCAATCTATTCAAAAGTCAGGAGTCACTACAAATCAATGCCTTAATTGCTGTTCAGCCTTCCGAGATGTTGATTGTACACGGCACCATCTCATGCGAACGCGCGCACAGGGGAGATGTCAACTGGGTCGGGCACACATGGCATGGGAATTGCAAACACAAGCCTTAGCTCAATGTGGATTGTGTTCCGTAGCTTTGGTACCTCAAGCGGGCTTTTCGCACATCTTCGGCGAGTGCACTTGCCGCTGCCCCTACCACGCCTTCTGATACCGAGGGGCGCTCATCCACGTGCTGCGTCGGCGGTGGCCCGTGCCAGGAACCCTCGGCTCAAAAGAGGACTCCACTGGGCACGGTCGAGACGTTCGAGCTCGGCGCCAACAAGATCCAGACCAGTCAAAGAAGGAACGTGGCGAGCTGAAGGAAGTCAAGGCACGCAAGCAAGGCGAGAAGACGATGCTCGGCCTTTTATACAGGCAGACTCTACGATCCGCGCAACAGATGCGCGACATGCACGCGGCCATCTACGACGTTTGGCTGATGCTCGAGACGTGTTCGGCGGCGCTGGCAATGCACGAACAGACATCGAACTACCCAGACCACGTGAAGGGCAAGAAGGATCACGATCTCGGGCCACCCTACATTTACGCGGTGGGCGGCGCTCTCAATACGTACGCGGAGGTGAAGATCGGACAGGGCGGCACACCAGGCTTCACGCTCACAGAAGAACTGCACACAGAGCTTCGGAAAACATTTATGGAGTACGATCAATGGTGAGTCGAGAGGTAGTTCGATTTGATTCTACACTGCAGAGTGGGGAAGGTCTACCAACGCTCCATGAAGAAAGTTACGGTTGCCTTTCGCGACCCACAGTTTCGTATCCTGATGAACAAGGCCTTCGCCTGCACGGAAGAAGCAGTCAAGAAGGTGGGCAGGGCTCCAGCGACGTTCCTCGAGCGCGAACTTCAGGAGCGGCTCGAGGGCATGGAGGGCTAGATGTCACCATGGCGTGCAGTGGAATAGCTTTTCGGGACAGCGCTTCACATTCCATACCAATGGTGGAAAGGCAACGCGCAGAAAATGAAGATCAAAATATTCATCGGGTGCGAGGTGATACCCCTTCTCTTCCTCTCCTGACTGCTCAGGTGAACCGAGCGGTCTATAGGTCACGCCCTCCGAGATCGGAGGCGCCTCTTCCAGAACTTGTAGTTCCAGGCGCCCCCCCCCGCATGCGTATAGTAACAGGTTTGTTTAGCTGCACGTCAAGTAATGCCTGGCAAACCAATTTACACTAGTATGCTATCAAGTGAGCGTACATATTCCCTAGCCTTGGCGTGGTATAGTGCACATAATTCGGAGACTTAAACAGCTTGTCTAGGGGGCTAGCTGTGTGGGTCTTTGTGTGGCTCTGTCATTGCGACTTTCAGCGCTGCGCCCCTGGCAGCCAATTGCCGGTTGGTCCGAGGCTGGTCTGCCGAGGGCCGCACGCGCGCAGGCTTGAGGGATATCATCCTTGGCTTTTGGGGCTGCCTTTCGTCGGTCAAGTTCTCCCTAGGGCTGCCTCGGGATAGCGTTCCGCGGGATAATGAATGCCCCTCACAATCATCACATTCGTCGACGACGGTGGGGATGTGCCCTGGGACCGAGACGGTCCCGCAAGGCAGCGTCCCGTCACCTCGAGGGCCAGCGATCGAGGCTTCCCGCTAGAGCAGGCTCACCGCACCAAACCCTGGACGTGTATATAATAATACGCTGTCGAAAGAATCTTGAATAGTATGACCGTTCCCAAGTGCACGGCGGGACAAAGACAGAGATGGCGCCAATGGTGATTCTAAACAAATCGAATATAATCCCTGCTCATCATTCTCCTCCTCATCGTTCACTCCTGCGATCTTCCTCCTTCGTATCCTCCTCCACCGGCTTTACCTCATGCGCGTCCTCCTCGGGTTACATCATCGTATCAAATGTCTCCTGCGCCCCATCGATAAGCCCCAGAGTGAGCATCCACGACAAGCAAACCCCCGCGAAGGCACCCGAAATCCAACGAAGCACCACACATCTAGCCATCCCGTGAAAAGCGACCGATTCCCCTGACAACTCCCAGGAAATCTAGACGAATCGCCCAGCATCATGCCCCACGCAACGCCTCAGAGAACAGCCGACACCCCTGCAGCTCAACACCGCCAACGACCACTCGGCCAGTCGACGCAGCAGTGCCCAAAAATGGGTCGGCGGAATGAGCGAAGCGATTGAATACGATAGAAGGACCAGGAGGGAGGATAAGCAAGAAGGGATATGCTGAGGGAGCAGGGAACACGCAGCGGGGAGGGGAACAAAAACGAAAACGGGCACGGACCAGGACATGGACAAGGAAAGGAGGAACGAGTATGGAAAAGGACGCGGAGGAGGGGGAGGAGGCGGACGACGACGACGAAAGCGGAGGGATGAGGAAAGAGGGAGAGGGCGAAGAGCGAAGGGGAGGAGGACAAATCAGGAGAAGGAGGAAGAGGGGAAGGAATGAAAGAGAGTGAGAGAGAGAGATAGAGAGAGCTGAGGATGATACATGATAAGGGCACATGAAGCATGAATCCAATACTCGGCGGCCGACCGATACTCGCTGCTTCCCAGCCGACCTGCGCAATGTGACGTCGCTGCGCATGGTTGGATCCAGCATGCACTGGAAGATCAGGGGCTTCACCCTGTCGAGCAGACTCCTTGGGGGAGTAGGTGGGGAAAAGGAAGGGAAAAAAGGAGCGAGGAAAAGCCAGGTGAACGCGCGCCATATCTGACATCCGACCCGTCCCACCTATGCTGCTTTATTGTACTGATGTTTTGCCTGCTCGCCAACAGATGTCCTGGCGGACCTGGATCCCCAAAGCGACCCCATCGTGCGATGCGCACTCGAAAAGGAAAGCTGTGAGTACACACAATGGAGGAGGAGGCGGCGGGTGAGCAGGAGGACGAGCAGGAGGAAAAGGAGGAGGAGGAGGAGGAAGAGGATTGCACGCCACTGAAGGGGACGGGAATAGATAGAGAGAGAGAGAGAGCGAGAGAGAGAGAGAGAGAGGGATGGTCCAACAACCCTAAGTGGGCCGATCGAGGAGGACCGCTTTTGTCACCACGGTGCGGCTCGGACAGGCTGCGCATCGCGAACCAGCGACAGGGCCCCCCTTGGGAGAACACGTCATCCTCGCCAGGCAGATCTTCGGCTTCCCGAGCCCTGCGCAGCCTGCCCGGCGCTCGAGCTTCGGCCTCCGTGGGCCCAAAAAGCGTCAGGCGGCCCGAGAGACAGAGGCTGGCGGCACCTCGAAGCCCTCGAAGCCCCTGGGCCCTCGAAGCCCCAGGCCCACCTGGCACGGGCACCCGCCCGAACTCCAGGAACCGGGGGCCGAACAAGCCCACCGCCCGCGGTCTCCTGGAATTCTCTCCGGGCCCCGCCTGCGCGGTCGACTTGGGCGTTTGAATCTGAGACGGCTGGATGATGTTTTCTCGCCCGCTCCACTTTGGGAGCGGGCCGAGCTGCCACGCAGATCCCTTGGACCCCGTGCGTCCGCCGAGACTGAAGCATGGCCTCCGCGGGTCGATGGAGCGGAGGACGACCCCTCCTCTTCCTCCTCGGGGAACACGCGAAAACAGTGCCCCTGAGAGAGCTCTGGCGCGCCCCGGAGAAAGCTCTCTCTCGCTCGAGGCGACAGCTGCAGGGGCGGTCTCCAGACCGGTCTGCGATGGCGAGGGGCCCTGGGCCGCCACGGCGGAGTCGTGAGCAAGAGCCTCTTCCATTTGCGCTTCGCGGTGCGAAGGCAAATCCAGGGGCGCCAACGAGAGCGCCTGAGTCTGTATAATCAAAAACACACTGCTCACTGCGGTAAACCTCAGCTCTCGCGATAGACCCGATGAGTTCACGAGACAACGAAAGGGAAGGCTTGGCAAGCAAGATATCTTCATATTCGTGCTAAACTAGACCTGTTCCTAGCCTGGCGAGTCCATCGGCTTCGCGATTCCCTGTCCGCTCTAGGTCAGACAGGAAACCCTCTCTGACAGCATTCTTCGTCGCGTGGGCAGGGACCTTCTTGAGATGAGCCTCCTCGAGGTCCCCCGATTCCCGCGCAAGCTTCCAAAGGTGGGCCCTGGGGTTCGAGGAGGCGAAGGTCCTGGACTTGTCTTGACAGCAGCCCAGCGTGCCTTTGCAGTCGGTGCGAAGGGTAAAATCTCATGCGCACAGATTCGAAACAAAGAGAACTGCATAATCCTCGCCGTCTCGCGCCACCTGATCTGGCAAAACGGCTGGAGGCACGGACCGTCGTGCCATTCTGCAATGCATCTGCATTCCTGGCCGAAGACGGCGGCGCCCCATCCAGCCATGCGAAACGATGGGAACAATCAGTCTAGGCCCGAACCGTCGCAGAAAACAAAACTGTTAGACGACACTAGCGGCCCCGCAAGACATCCGCACAATCGAATATCCGCGGTGGGGCCCCCAGGTTTTCTTGGCAGAATCTGGCAGGGGTCGGGCAAAAGTCCGCGGGCAAAACATTCCAGAAGCTCAATGCTGCAAGTGGCAACGCGCTGAGCCGCTGTCTCTACGATGTTCGGATGATTACCCCGTCTCCGTGGCTTTCGGTTCAAGGGCAGTGAAAGTGGCGATGCAAAGGTGCGCCCGCTCGCCGCAAGTTAGGCATTCGAAGGCCAGATCTGGGTCGCGCTGGCGCAATCGATACTGCCACCGATGGGGCCCCATGAGGAGTCCAAGAAGCGAGCGTTTCTCGCGAAATCCCCAAGTCCCCCCAGTCCCAGGCCCACGCCTCTCCTCATCTACAATTTGATGCAGCAGCTCATTGAGAAGCCTCCAGAAAAGCTCACCACGCCTGGCTTTGCCTGAACCCATCTTTCCAAGAGCCGCGACACATGCAAACCTACGCGCCGAGAATCTCGCCCTCCTGGAGACCTACGCTGTCGACGCCTGCCGAAGGCCCCAGGTCCTCACCGCGAATTCGGACACCAACAAGGGCCCGGAAAACTGCGCCCCATCCTCTGACAGGCGGGCACTAGGGCCGAAACGGGGGGCGCTCATCAGCGCCCATGGTTGCGGCCATTGGGCCACTGCCTGGGCCCTGGGAAACAGCGCAGCCAACATCCGATCAGACAACCAACCGCCCTGGATGATATGCACATGGGCCTGTGTCGCTTCGGCGGGGACCTGTGCCGAGGGGCCCCTCAGCCAGCCTCCAAAAACGCGCGCAGCGACGCGGAGAATTCCCCCCGCGGGGGCCCCGGCCTCCCGGAAGCTTACAAGTCCCACCAGCCCTTTAGGGCGTGAGTGGTTTAGCGAGCCCCCTCTGTCCTCAACCCCCCTTCTTCCCCTTCGGGGAGGGGTTTACCCCTCCCCCTACCCCCTCCCCCTGGGCCTGGAGAGGGAGTCCCGCGGGTGGTCAGGGGAGTATTTTTCGACTCCTGGGAGGGCTAAAAAACGACGACCCTCACAAGGATTCTGCTCCCGACGGGGGACCCTCTTGTAGTACCCCCCTCTTCGTCGACGCCAAAAACATTGATTATACTATGGTTTTGGCCCCACGTTGGCCTTCTCAGGGGGTCGCGTTCCTCGTCCTTCATAGCAAAATCATTGATTTTGCAAAGGTTTTGGGCTCATTTTGTCCTTCTCAGGGGGCAGCTCTCATTTGCGTCTGAGGAGGTCGCAAGAGGCCCCAAGATGGCCCCAAAAGGCCCCCAGGAGGCTCCCAAGAGGCTTCCAAGAGGCCTCCCAGAGGCCCCCAAGCGGCCCCAAGAGGCCCCCAAGAGGCCCCCAAGAGGCCCCCAAGAGGCCCCACGAGGCCCCAAGAGGCCCCCAAGAGGCCCCCAAGAGGCCCCCAAGAGGCCCCCAAGAGGCCCCACGAGGCTCCAAGAGGCCCCCAAGAGGCCCCCAAGAGGCCCCAAGAGGCCCCAAGAGGTCCCCAAGAGGCCCCCAAGAGGCCCCCAAGAGGCCCCAAGAGGCGCCAAGAGGCCCCCAAGAGGCCCCACGAGGAGCCCCAACGACTCACACCAGGACGAGGGGCCCGAACGACTCACACCACGAAGAGCCCGAACGACGCACACCAGGAGGAGGGGCCCGAACGACTCACAGCAGGACGAGGCGCCCGAACAACTCACACCACGAGGAGCCCGAACGACTCACACCAGGACGAAGAGCCCGAACGACTCACACCACGAAGAGCCCGAACGACTCACACCAGGAAGAAGGGCCCGAACGACTCACACCAGGACGAAAAGCCCGAACGACTCAAACCACGAGGAGCGCTTTCGCTCCCTCCTCCTCCGCCTCGTCCCTCTCCCGCTCCCACCACAAGGAGGGTGTACAAGGATGCGGGGGGAAGGAGGAACAGGGGAGATATGCGGGGGCAGGCGGAAACACGCCTGAAAAACACGACTCTCGGCATGCTTCGCAAGAGTTGTTGTTGTGAGATGGGTTGGTGGGGATACGCGAAGCGTAAAGAATTTGGCCACTTTGGCCTGAGTCTTCAAGAAACGTGCGCGATGGGTTGATGTTCTCTGTTTGGCTCCATCTGTCGCGCCACCGCCTCGGTCGCGATGGACTGTCGCCCCGGCCGCTGGGGGGGGATTGCAACTTGCCGCAGGCGAGAGGCGAACCGGGGGGTGGGCGCGAGCGCGCTTGGCACAATTCCAAGCGATCCGAGGACCCCTAGCCTGGAGACCCTCTGGATACCTGGTTGAAAGCTGACTGCAGTTCCTTGCGGGCGGCGGCCTGGCCGCCCGCGGCGCGCGCGGAAGCGTCATCGATGGCGCCGCTGGGCGCCGCCCCTCGGCAGGCCGAAACCGAAAACACCCGTTTCACAATTGAGACAAGCAATGCCTATCGGTCGAGCGCGTGTGAAATTATGCAACCTGGGGTCGCCCTGGAAGGCCACGCCATATAATCCCGATAACTCAAAGACGCAATTTCCTCTTATCCCCATTATTCCCGATAATGCATAACCCATAATGTGCCATGGACGCTAATCAGTACGGGATCACACATCGCGGACACTGAAGACGAGCACCATCAGCCCCCCAGAACGCTCTCGTCGAGGCGCAGCTGCTGGAGGGCATCGCGAACGACTTCTAACTAACGTCCTGAATGATTGCGATCACCGTCTGGGATGAATGAACCTCCCCGAAACTTTCCGGAGCCCGACCTCCTGGAGTCCGTGCCCGAGAATTACAACCCGTGAAAACACAATGTTTCTACTGATGCCCACGGATCCATCTCCCGGGCCCGACCTCCGCGAGACCTCCCGGGACATTCTCCTCGCAAGTCCCAGGGCGCGAATTCCCTTACATTGAATCGCTCTGCGAAGCCCCGAAGGGCCCGCGGCGCCTCGCGTGCGTCACTCGCGACGACCAGTTCCTGATGATGATCGGGCCGCCACTGACATGGCCCGCGAGTGGCTTATTTTTATTTAGTGGATTGACATTATTGACGTGCTAACGTCTGTATTGACCCATCTTTGTCGGCGAGGCGACCTCGAACAATAAATAGTTGCATCCATTCGCGCGCGATCAACCCATCGGACGAGGCGGCCCCCGGGCAACCCGCAATGGCCGCGCCATTCGGGGCGATGGTTCTAGAGGTCGCCCCCTGCCAGGAAACCCTTCGAGGCGACCTGTAGATCGCGCAAGAAGTTCCCAGGGGGGCCTTGGGAAACGCCGCCTGCGCAGCTAC